GGTGACAGAGCGAGACTCTGTCTCAAAAAAAAAAAAGAATCAGGCCAGGCGCTATGGCTCATGCCTGTAATCCCAACACTTTGGGAGGCCAAAGCGGTTAGATTGCCTAGCTCAGGAGTTTGAGACCAGCCTGGGCAACATGGCAAAACCCCCCTCTACTAAAAATACAAAAATTAGCCGGGCGTGGTGGTGTGTTCCTGTAATCCCAGCTACTTGGGAGGCTGAGGCACAAGAATTGCTTGAACCCCAAGAGAGGGAGGTTGCAGTGAGCTGAGATCGTGCCACTGCACTCCAGCCTAGAAGGACACAGCGAGACTGTCTCAAAAAATAAATACATAAATAAAAGAATGAGTTGCTGCCAGATGGAAAAGTACAAAGCGCGACCAGCTGAGGGCAGACACAGGCAGAGCACAGAGCCAGGAAAAAGGAGTGATTTCTCCTGGGATCTCCACATAGTTAGAAATATCTGGCCACCAAACAGCTTTGATCTGTGCCACCAGCTTCCTATTCCATGAACTCTCTAGGCTTTCTGCCTCATCTTTATTCAATCTGAGCTGTCTTTGCATGCAGGCATTTCACCAAGAGAAGCTCTTGGAGATTGGAAGCTCCTATTAAAAGCTGGCTCGCTCAGGCACCACAGTAAAGGCTTTGGCCCATTTCTACACACTGGACTGGCCTGAGGGTCCTGATGAGAAGAAAGGGGGTGGGGAAACTAGTGCCCACAGGTTCCCAGAGAGGTACCCTGCAGCTTTCAGGGGTACCCGCCCTCCATTCTGGGCATTAGCTCAGGATATGGGCTTGGACATTGCTTTGCTTCACTGACTTTTTTGCAATACTAAGCATTGCCTCAGTTTCTCCATCGTTAACAAGGACCAAAAGTCTGTGCCCTCCCCTTGCTTTGCAGAGCCCTGTAAGATTAATTATGCATAGCTTATAAAGCCTGGTAAACTCCTCCAAGCACAGCTTTATGCAAATACGAGATTATGCCTTCAGTGGCAGGCAGAAGGTCGGTTTTCATTTCTACATCAGCTCTCTTGATTTTTTTGCTGTAGAAAGAAATCCATCACTCCAGTATTCACAACTGGAGGGGGGAAAATGTCCTAATTTTACTTCCATATAATCCAGAAGCATATGGCTCACAGATCTATTGCGGAGGAAGCCAAAAGAGGCCAGATGAGGCCTCACCAGGCAGAAGGAGCGCAGCAGGGGTAAGCACTAGGACAAACAGCAGTAAAAGAAAGAAGGAATGCCAGCCGCGATGACTCATGCCTCTAATCCCAGCACTTTGGGAGGCAGAGGCAGATGAATCACCTGAGCTCAGGAGTTTGAGACCAGCCTGGCCAACATAGTGAAACCCCATCTCTAATAAAAATAAAAAAAATTAGCCGAGCATGGTGGCAGGCGCCTGTAATCCCAGCTACCCAGGAGGCTGAAGCAGAAGAATCACTTGAACCTGGGAAGTGAAGGTTGCAGTGAGCTGAGATCATGCCATTGCACTCTAGCCTGGGTAACAAGAGCAAAACTCTGTCTCAAAAAAAAAGAAAGAAAGAAAGAAAAAAAAATGAATTAGGCCAGGCTACAAGAGGAGAAGGGAAAGAAAGTAGGACACACGGCAGAGGTAGACAACCAGCCCTTACCATGCACACATCCCCAGGATCAGGAGGCTTACAGGAGGCACCAGGAGCAAAACCAGCAGCTCGTTGCCTTATCTCATGAACCAACTACTTCTGCATGACCCCCTGCAATCACGGAACCACCTGAATCTCAATCATCTTGCTGAGAACTTGGGTGTCATCTTTGGGTCTCCCTGTCTTCTCACAATCTAGTTAAGGAAGCTTGTGAGGCACAAAGTAGGGCTTTGAAGACAACCCTTAAATACAAAAGTTAGCCAGAGTGGTGGTGGGTGCCTGTAATCCCAGCTACTTGGGAAGCTGAGGCAGCAGAATCGCTTGAACCTGGGAGGCGGAGGTTGCAGTGAGCTGAGATCGTGCCATTGCACTCCAGCCTGGGTGACAGAGCAAGACTTTGTCTCAAGAATTAAAAATAAATAAAAATAATAAATGAAAAGTTAAATTCAACCACTAACTGGAAAACAAGACTATTCCACCCACGAAGTAGCCAGAGCCAGACCACACCTGTCTCCTGGAATGAGATCTCCCACCAAGAAGTGACTCTTGTCTCCAGTTGTCTCATCTGTTTCCCAGACCCACCCTCAGCTCCCACCTTCCCCTCTGAGGTTTACACCTGCCCTTTGGGACCCTTGACTTCGCAGCCAAGAGTCCATGCATGTCTGGCACTGACGCTCTATATTCAGGCTCTTTATGTCTTGTGTGGAGCGAGGCATGCCAAATTCTACCTCTGCAGTAACTACTGAGTCTTTTATCCACTTACTGTCATGCATTTAACAAATAGGCACACCACTCCTACCATGCATCATACACAATCGTGAACACTAGGACTCAGCGCACAAGCAGGAGAAGATTCCTGCCCTCAGCTTGGCACTGGAGAGAGAAGAAACACCAATAGGAGATGGGTAGTTGATGGGTGTCTGAACCACTAAAAACAGGTGGTCAAGGAAGGCCTCTCAGAAGAGGTGATATGTGACAGATGAGAGACAGCCCGCCATGCAGAGATGTCAGGGAAGAGAGATGGGGCGTGAAGGAGGACAGCCAGTTCAAAGGCCCTGGGGCAGAATCAAGCTACATTCAGAAACCAGAGGGAGCTATGTGGCTGGAGCAGAGAGAAAGGGGGAATTGGGAAGAGATGAGAGCAGAGAAGTTCCTCAGGCACCAGATATTCTAGGGCCCTGTCGGCTACAGGAAGGATTGAGGGTTTCGTAAGTGAAACTGGAAGGCATTCAAAGGTTTAAAACAAAGAAGTGATTTGTTCTGATTTGGGTATATATTTAAAGATCACTGTGCCTGCTGTTTGGAGGGAACAAAAGGAAGAAGAGAGGCCTATAGGGGCAGTTGTGGGGTCCAGATGGGAGAGATGATGGATCTGGAGAGGGGGCAGCCATGGAGATGGTGGTCCTTCCTGCTGTTCACCTACCTTCCTGCAGACCCTCCTCACTTCTTGCCCAGACTATTACGGTGGCATCTGAATTCTTTATCCTTCTTCCCCAATCTCTCCCACGTCAAATCAACTCTAACACCACTACCTGGTAATGCAGCATAATGACAGCAGGGGAGCCACGGCTGGATGCCTGTGGAATCCAATTCACCTCCTCCTTATTTGCACATCACCATCACCCAATTTGGGTTAATGAGAGGCACATGAGAGCTGACAGGGTGGCACCTCCCAGAAACCTACTGCTTTCCTGAGATAAACAATAACAGACTTGGCTGATACGAGATCTTGGCCCAGTTTTTGCCTATGGTACAGGCCCCATGCCCAGAGGTGGCATGGCCACCTGTTAAGGATGGTGAAGCTCAAAGTTAGAAGAGACCTAGTTCCCAAGAGCATCTTTGAGCCCCTGGAGCATCCCCTGATTAGCCTGCCTCTGAACTCTTTTTTCAGCTGAGGAAAATGAACCTCTATTTGTTTAAGCCACTGTAGTTGAATTTCCATTAAAAGCAGCTGAACACATTTTTGCACCAAAGCAGGAAGCTCAGGGAATAAATTCACCTACAGCAATAGATGATGTTAGCCCCAAGCGTGTGGCTCATAAAACAGAGGGAGAATCGGGTTCTGATGAGAGCTAAGTCACTGTCATATAAGGATTTTCAATAATACAAACTCTTAGTTTCTGTGGGGTAGTTGCTAGAACTCCACGATCTCCATATGGGCAGATGTGTTAATAGAAGAACATCGGGCCGAGGCCCAGGGACTCAGCTCCCCAGGGGAGCTTGTTCTGGATGCCCAGGTTCACTCCCCTAAACTCTGTGCATCCTGGGAGCATACAGAGAGGCCTCAGAATGTGAGCTCCAAAGCAGTCACCTAAAAACAAATCACAGCCGGGCACAGTAGCTCACACCTATAATCCCAGCACTTTGGGAGGCAGAGCCCAGGAGTTCAAGACCAGCCTGGGCAACATGGCAAAACCCCATTTCTACTAAAAAGTAAAAAATTAGCCAGATATGGTGGTGCATGCCAGTAGCATCAGCTACTCGGGAGGCTGAGGCAGGAGGATCGCCTGAGTCTGCAGAGGTCAAGCCTGCAGTGAGACAAGATGGTGCCACTGGACTCCGGCCTGGGCAACAGAGTCAGATCTTGTCTCAAAAGAAAAAAAAAAAAAATCACTTCCATGAACTGCTGGGTGTCAGAAGGCTAGATAGGGTCTGGAACAGAGACAACTCCTTCTCCTATAATGGTAATTGGTAAATTGTAACCATAATAGGTTCATTGCCTGAAACACATGGCAAGTCAGCACACCAAGACATTGAGTTGCAGCAGAGAAAGAGGTTTAATCACAGGGTCACCAAACAAGGAGACAGAAGGAAACCTCAAGTCTGTCTCCTTGAGGAGTTTGGGGCCAAAGATTTTAAGGGTTTTGGAGTGGGCCAAAGTGTGGAGATCATTGATTGGTCTCAGAGTGCAGGATTAAGTCATGGGACAAGGAGGTAAAGAAACTGTATTCTCATGCCGATTCTCTGTGAAGGTCTTTAAACCTGTTGGCATCAGCTGTTTTGCTGGAATTCAGGATCTGCTTAAGCAATTCTGAAACAAAAGGCTTAGGATTCTAACGTCAGAAATCCTAGCTACAGAAACAATGGGGATGCAAATAGCCAGTGTCTAGCATTGAGAGGCTTTCAGTTACTCGGAAGTGGGTCAAAGTGCAGCCTGGTTAATGCTTACTTACAACTATATTTCTGTCCAGAATTCTTGTTAACCATGTGAGAATGGCTCCATTCCAGGGTCCAAAAGAAACTCAGAGGTGGGGCCAGGGGCATCCATGGAGACCACCAGTAAGGCTGAAGCATGACATTACAGGCTCTGGGGGTCAGTCCAGACACAGGCAGGCAGCATCTCGAGGCCCTGTAGTTGGAAAAAGAAAGGTTTCCCAGCAGGGAGAGGACGGAGCATATGAGTCACCACGGAACTTGTTAAAATACAGATTCCAAGTCAGTTGGTCTGGAGTGAAGCCTGAGAATTGCTAACAAGCTCAGAGGATGCTGAGGCTGCTCAACAGGTGACCACACTTTGAATAATGAGGAGTAAGAACATAGAATAGGGAATGTGTGCTATGGGTATAACCAGGAAGCTACTGGGAGGTGTGTGTGTGTGTGTTGTGCAGACATGTGTGCTCATATTTTGACAATTGTTATGAGCAGGGACTCAGCAGGAATCAGATGAGTGAGAAATGGAGTTTAATACTGGGCAGGTTACCTATTGTTGACAACAAGAATTAAATCCTGTAAAAATATTTAAAGAGGTTTATTCTGAGCCAAATATGAGTAACCATGGCCCCATTTACAGTCCCGAGAGGTCCTGAGAACATGTGTCCAAGGTGGATGGTTTATAGCTTGCTTTTATTCATTTTTGGGAGACATAAGGCATCAATCAATACATGTGAGGTATACACTGGTTTGGTCCAGAAAGGCAGGCTCACCTTTCCAGAATGAACTAATGTATACCTCACATGGTATAGTGGGGGTGGGTAGGGAGGGAGTTTACAGATCACAGGTGGATTCACAGGTTTTCTGACTGGCAGTTGGCTGAAAGAGTTATTAAAAAACCTGGAATCAATAGAAAGGACTGTCTAGGGTAAGATAAGAAGTTGTGGAGACTGAGGTCCTTGTTATGTAGATGAAGTCGCAATAGGTGGCCACCCTCAGAGGCAATAGATGGCAAATGTTTCCTGTTCAGACCACTAAAAAGTGCTAGACTCTAAGTTAATCTCTTCAGGATTGGGAGGCCCTAGAAGGGGAAAGAACTAGTTACCTTAACAAAGATTCTTTACAGATGCAAATTTTCTTCCACAAAAGATGGTTCTGGAGGGCCATTTCAAAATATAGCAAAGAAACATCTGGGGATAAAGAAGTTTGATTTTCTTTTTTATCTGCTACATGATGTTATGCCAGAGTCGGGTTGGAAAGTAAGTCATGTTATAAAGGGTTAAATAAAACCCATCTGATGAGATTTTATGGTTTGTAGGGCATGACAAACCTTGGTCCCTCAGATAGGAATGCAGGCAAGAGATGAAAAGGTCAGAGTTTAGTCCTCGCTATGTGGAAACTCAAGACATTGCTGAAGATAGTCCCAGAACAAGAGACACCCTTAGGAGCCCTGCCCGGCCAACATCACTGCAGCTGTGAGCACTGCAGCACATGACTGGGCCAGCATCCTCTTCAGATCCTCAATCTGGGTGGCTGCAATACACAGACTAGAGAAACTATCAGTTTCTTCCTATGCAGTCCAGGTCTGCCTATGTACCTACCTATGCAGCTTCCTATGCAGCTGCCAGTTTCTTCCTGTGCACTCGGTTGCGAATGTGGTAACTGAAAATCAGTGCTAGGACTGAGTAAGGTCCTTGGAGTTCTTGGACTTGACACAGAAAAAAATAAAAGACCCCAGAAAGGTCAATACATTCCTGCAATAGCAAGCTGGTGCTCAAGCTATATAATCTAAATATAAGAAGGGATTTGACCTCAGTATGAATTCTAAGCCAGTAAAGCCAGACAGATTGCTTACCTTTATAATCAGTGAAAACAATAAAGCTATTTTCATTTGAAAGAAATTGAAAATGCAGAAAGGGCCTGGCCTTCTGAAAATTGCTCTAGATTGACTGCAAAACCAAGCATGCCCACGCTTTTCCAAAACTTAACCTGTACCAGCAGCTTAAATACTTAAAGTCACAAGAATGTTCTTCTTTACTCTTAAATGTGGACATGGGGGGGAAATGGGGAAGAAAGGGAGGCTGGATCTAGAGAAAATATAAAAGCTGGAGTGGATTTGACCTCTCCTCTTTCAAGCTTGTTTGGAACTGTGTGAAGAAAATGTTCTGGTCTGTTCTATCCCTCTCTGTTCTCATTTAAGCTCCACTGAGACTGTATTTTGAATAAACAGAGCACAAGAGCAGTGCTTTGGAAGGAGCTTCACAGAGGTTGAATGGATAGCAGAGAAAAGAGCCTAAAGCATGAAGATCTTGGGGCTCAGAGTCAAACCTGAGTGTCCTAGAAAGCCTGTGTTTTCTTTCTCAAAAGTTTTATTTTTCTTCTCATCTCAAATTCCGATATCCTCAGTTTGGGGTGGAAAGAGTAAATCTGGGAAGGATTGAGCCCCAGGAAGGAGCCCATTGGATCTGGTGCTGTCCCCACCCCACCCCACATGCACACAAACCTCCAATACAAACCTCCAGCTCATCCCACAACAGCCCTGACTCTATCCTGCTGGCTGCCAGGAAGTCAACCCAGCAAGGCTGGAGGCCACAACTGCTATCTTCCTCCATATTTGTTCAATAACTTTGCTCTGGAATTCTGAGTGGAGGCCTTGGAATCTTGTATCTCAGGAGATACATGTAAAAGTGTCCTTAGTCTGGGCACGGTGGCTCACACCTGTAATCCCAACACTTTGGGAGGCCAAGGCAGGCTGATTGCTTGACCCTAGGAGACCAGCTGGGGCACCATGGTGAAAACCCACCTCTACAAAAAATACAAAAATTAGCAGGGCATGGTGGTGCCTACCTGTAGTCTCAGCTACTCAGGAGGCTGAGGCAGGAAGATTGCTTGAGTCTGGGAACTCAAGGCTGCAGTGAGCCATGATCACACCAGTGTATTCCAACCTAAGTGACAGAGTGAGACCCTATCTCAAAAAAAAAGTATAAGCAAAAGAAATTCCCTTTTATCCTTCTGATATGGTTCGGCTGTGTCCCCATGCAAATCTCATCTTGAATTGTAGCTCCCATAATTCCCCTGTGTTGTGGGAGGGACCCAGTAGGAGATAATTGAATCACAGGGGCGGTTTCCCCCCATATTGTTCTCTTGGTAGTGAATAAGTCTCACGAGATCCGATGGTTTTCTAAGGGGAAACCTCATTTGCTTGGTTCTCTCATTCCTCTCTTGCCTGTACCATGTAACACATGCCTTTCACCTTGCGCCATGACTGTGAGGCCTCCCCAGCCACGTGGAACTGTTTAAACCTCTCTTTCTTTATAAATCATCCAGTATTGGGTATGACAGACCTAACAGGATTGAGGGGAGCCCTGAGCCTAGCTCATAGCTGACACAGTTTCTCCAGATCCCTCTGGGAGAGGCTGGAGGGGGCTGTGGGTAGAGCTGTGGTGTGCTGTAGTGAAAAGAAAGCCAGAATTGGGGATATCAGGGCCAGAATTGGGGATATCAGGGCCAGTCTTAGATGGTGGTAGTTAAACATCTCACCCAGTATCCATTCTAGAAATACCTACTGAGGCTATGCTAGGTGCCAAGCTCTGAGATGGACATTATGGTGCAGTCACAAACAGTATAGACAGGCCTAGAAGAATGGTTATATATATATATATATATATATATGCATGTGTGCATGTGTGTATATGCATATTTATGCACCTGTGCACACAAATATGCACATACACATACAATTGCAGAGAAAATCATGGAATGGAATGGACAGCTCTAGGGAAATGCTTATCGAGGAGCACTGACCTGACCTAAGGTTAAGGAAACCTCCCTGAGGAAGTGATGTTTAAACTGAGCCCCAAACCTCATAGAAGGAGGAGGAGGAGAAGGAGGAGGGGAAAAAGAGTCAGTTATTGGGTATTTACAATGCATACAGCACTGTCCTAAACATTCAGCATCTATTAACTCATTTAATTCTTACAACTTTATAAAACATGTACTATTATTATCCCCATTGGGCAGATAGGGAAACTGAGGCACAGAGGATGTAAGTAGCTTGGCTAAAGTCATCCTCTCTGATGTATCAGTGATGTTCCTAGTCACCTGCACTGACTTTAAAAAATCTCCGAAGAATAACTAAACTGAACATGATGCGACGGACAAACTCAAATGCCACTTTGCATTTTTAATCTTTTTGACCCCCAAATCATTCTCTGCAACAGGAAAAGGCAGCAGCAGTGGTGGCTGTGAGGGCTGGGCTGTGGGAGCTGCCCGGGATCTTTGCAGCCTACAATGGGAGGCTCTCCTGTGCCCTTCAGTCACAGTCAATACATGAGTGGACTCTGGACCCAACCTACCTGGGCTCCAATCCCAACTCCAGCACGTATTAGCTGAGAGGAGTGGGTGACTTATTTCTCTCTGTGTGCCACTGTTTTGTCATCCGTAAAATGGGAATAAGTATAGCACCTTGCTATTATAAGATAATTACTATAAGGTATTACTATAAGGAAGCCTTGCCTTTGAACTGGGGTGGAGAATCATTCAACAGTCATTTATGTAGTTTTGTCCAAAAATTCAGTGCTTTTCCAAAAGGCATCATATGTGTAAACCAGAGGTAAAGTCAGGCAAGGCTTCATGGAGGAGGCAGAATATCATGCATTTGTTCAGCAAAGATTTGCTGAGCAGCTGCTAAGTGCAGGCCATTCAGTATTCTAACAGTAGGAGAACAGATAACAGCTAGTGAATTGCTGTTGCTCTAAGCCTCCAGGCCACCCCTGCCTGAGGGCTTCTCCTTCAGGATCCTGGGAATTACCCCCAATTCACCAACCAAAGAGGCAGGGAGAGACTTGCAGAACCTCAGGACCTGCTCCAGGGCTCCCATACCCAATCTCTTTAGCAGGAGAACACAGTCTAGTGGAGAAGATAAATAAGTAAACAACAAGTTACCAAACAGTGTGGGAAGAACAGAAATAGAACTACCTAGAGCACAGGCCAACAGCCTCATGGGTGGAGCATGATAACTGGCTTTACCAAGGAGGCGATTACTGACAACAGGCATAGCTGGGAGCCACAGAGGATCAGCATCCCAGGAAGGTTGGAGGGGACAGCAGCAGAAGAGACCTGGAGGTGAGAAGGAGCAGACTCTGACAGGTTAAGAGGTCCAAGAAGCAAGATCACAGGGCATCTGTTAAGAGTATTATGAGGCAAGGAGACTAGGAAGGTGGGTAGGGGCTAAATACTGCCCAGCCTGGGATGTAATGAGAAGTCATTCAGGGACAGGAAGCTGGGGAGTGCATTCTAATAAAATCACCCTTGTGGTGGAGTGGGAAATGGACCAGAGGTACAAGAGGATGGAAGTAGAGAAGTTGCTGTAGGAATTGGTACAAGAAATGACAAGGTTCCCAACCTAAGTAGGGACAGAGTGGGTGAAAGCTGACAGGGGAATTGCAAAAGAAGCAGAAAGGATGGGTGCAGCTGCTGAATGGAGAGGATAAGTGAGGTGGAGCAGTTCAAGGAAGGTGTCTAGATTTCTACCCAATCACACAGTAGATGGGATGCCACCTCCCAAGCCAGGGTGCCTCAATGGGAAAGACAATGGTCAATGATATATACAGAGGAGACAAGAGATCATGTAGCCACTGCCATTGTGAGATGGCAGCCAGAGGGATTTTTAACAAATATGCAAAAGATGACATCACTCCTGTGTTAAATTCCTGCAATGTCCCTCTCTCCCTCAGAATAAGATCTAAGTCCTTTGTTCCCTTAACCACATAATCAGGCCCCGGCATCTCTCTAACCTCATTACCTATCTTCGGCTTACTATTCTTCAGGGACACTGGCCTCTTTCTTTTCCTTTTTATTTTTATTTTATTTTTATTTTTTGAAATGGAGTTTTGCTCTTGTCACCCAGGCTGGAGTGCAATGGCACGATCTCAGCTCACTACAACCTGTGTCTCCCAGGTTCAAGCAATTCTCCTGCCTCAGCCTCCTGAGTAACTGGGATTACAGGCATGCGCCAACATGCCCGGCTAATTTTGTATTTTTAGTAGAGACAGGGTTTCACCATGTTGGCTAGGCTAGTCTCGAACTCCTGACCTCAGGTGATCCACACGCCTCGACCTCCCGAAGTGCTGGGATTACAGGCATGAGCCGTCGTGCCCGGCCCTCTTTCTTTTCTTTACATCAAACTCATTCTTGTTCCTAGATACTTGTCCTTTGCTGTTCCTTTCATGTGATTTGTGTTTCTCCCTATTTTTCTTGTCATCCACAACGCCTTTTAATGGTCATCTTCCCAGAACCACTCTCTCTGACCACATGACCTAAGGTTCTCAACCCACCTACACCCACCCAGCTATTTGCTGCCACCTTTCTTTCTTTTCTTTATCGTCTGAGCAGCTATCTGAGATGATCTGAAGCGTGTGTGATTGATTAGTCTTTTTCTAGTCTCCCCCACTGAGATGTAAGTGCCATGAGGGCAAAACTGGGTGTGCCATTTTGCCCCTGTACTCCTCAATGCTCAGAACAGTCCTGGCTTACAGTAAATCATCGGTAAATATCTCTGAAAGAATGAAGGGACCCATGTGGGGCATGGGACCATCCACAGTGTTTGGTTTTGACTTTGAGGGAATACTGAGGGGGGAATGGGGTATACAGTATTATCAGTCAAGTTGATAATAAGAAACAGACATCATGCTCATGGGATGTTTGAGGTGAGCTTAGTAAAGAGACTCTTTACAAAGAGGTGTGCAGAATGGAGGCAATTTACAAGGGATGAGGAAGAACCCCAGGGTTAAGAACAGCCAGAAGCTGTTACTTCTCCTGGTGAAAGGCATAAGGGAGACAGTTCCTAGAACCCAGAGGCAGTAGAAGGCACCTGCATGAGCTGGGAGCAACCCAGAGAGAAAAAGCCTGATAAATAACCTCATCCTCCCAGCACTGGTCTCCTGTCGATGCCTCTCATTGGATAAATCCAACCAGAAGCCAAGGAGAAGAGAGCCCAGGTGATGAGATTCCTATAGCTCAGCCTCCCAGGCAGAGAATGTGGGGGGGAAAAAAAAAAAAAAAGTAGAATGTGTCTCTGAAGGACAAAAGGAAGTAACCTGTGCATGTTTTTATCAGTACGATCAGAACACATACAATAGAGAAAAAGTGACTCACCAAAATGAGGCTGGATGAACAACAAAAGCAATGTATTTCCACCATGCATACAGAGTGACAAAAAAGCCTCATTTTCCATCACCTCTTTCTTGTCCCTTTGGAGTCCAGCCTTCTCTTTCTCCCTGGAGCCCCACCCCCCAACCCCCCACAGCTTTGCACTGCCCTTTGCTTGTCAGACATGGGAGCAGCACAGTGGCTGCAATCTGTAGAATCATCCTTTACATGTTGGCATTGCCTTGGGTTGTGGTGCAGAATAAACTGGAGGCATGAAAACAGATCGGTGCTCTGAAATTCTCACTGAGCTCAAAAGCAGCAGGAGACAGTAGAATAAGAGATTTGAATTTCATGCCCTCATCACCTGGGCCACGAGTTTTGGAAATGCAGAATTTTTAAAATGCTTACCTTGGAAATGACACGACTCAAGCTTGGAATCCTCAGGAGGATTTAGGCTGCCCCGTGTGTTCCCCACAGATCTGGGTGTCTGCTTTTTCAGCACAGAGTTAAAGCCTGCAGACGTGGGTACACATATTCCAATGATTTCATTGAAGTATTTTGTGTCATTTGATTCTTAGGCATCTAATTCTGTGTTTTGTCACAGTCTCTACATCACAGGCATAACCAAGCATTACCTATTAAAATCTTTAAATGTAGTAGGGTTTAAAGTCCCTTTTTCTCATATAATAGAAACTTTGTGGAGGGGAGAAGAGAAGGAAAAGTTTAAATTCCATCTTCCTCTTGTCTAAGGAGGCATATGCTCTGTGGGGATGGACATCTTCTACCTTAGGAAGAGGTAGTGCATGAAAATATTCCTGCTTTCAGGGCTTGCACTTCAATGAATGTCAGTGCCAAGCAAGCCTGACCCCCAGAGCTCCAGGCCCTCAGGGGTTACCATTTGCTCCTGGGATCCCCCTTCACTGTGAAGACACCTCCCTAATGGGGACCCCACCATTGAAGGATATCTGTTTTCTTCCCTTTACATCATTAAAATCAAAGATCGATGCTGTGCTCTGGGAGGGATTTTGCAGGGCCAGCCGGTGCTCTGATAGATTAAGCAGCAGTGCCTGATAATCGAAAAGTTTTCTCTTTGCAGAGTCACCCTCAGGCTTTAGAAATAGCCTGGAGTTGGAATGGGAGAGCTGTACGCAGGCCTTGGGCAAGCACTGGGCCCTGTGATGGCCCTGCTAGAGGCTGCGTGTGAATAGGTAAGAAGCAAAAGTGGAAAGAGAGAAAATGAGAATATTGGGGTGGTGGGGGAGAAGAGGAAGCAGAAAAGAGAAAAGAATAAAATAAAGATTAACATAATGTGTCCATAGTAACTCATCTAGAAAGTAGGACAGGCAGGACTTAGATTCAAACCTGGGTCTATTTGACTCCAAAGTCCATCTTGCTTCCTCTGTAACAGGAGAGGAGCCACAGGCTATTCCCAGCTTATGAAGGGTACACTTACAAGGAGAATTCTCAGTAGATCTGTCTAGTTCTCCTGACTCCCACAAAAGCATTTTCAGTGTGAGCCAGACAATGGGCTGGGTGTTTGAGGCCCAAAGATAAACAAGACATAGTTCTTACCCTTGAGGAATCCACAGCCTCGCAGATAGGTAAATGTGCCAACAAATAACTACATCCAAAAATTGTAGTAAAAATAAGAACATAGCCGGGCGCGGTGGCTCAAGCCTGTAATCCCAGCACTTTGGGAGGCCGAGACGGGCGGATCATGGGTCAGGAGATCGAGACCACCCTGGCTAACACAGTGAAACCCCGTCTCTACTAAAAATACAAAAAAACTTAGCCGGGCGAGGTGGCAGGCGCCTGTAGTCCCAGCTACTCGGGAGGCTGAGGCAGGAGAATGGCGTAAACCCGGGAGGCGGAAGCTTGCAGTGAGCTGAGATCCGGCCACTGCACTCCAGCCTGGGTGACAGAGCGAGACTCCATCTCAAAAAAAAAAAAAAAAAAAAAAAAATAAGAACATAAAGAAGTATAAAATGCCAACAGACCAGAGATGGAGGAATAACAATTGATCTAGAGAATATGACAAAGATATATAAAGATGGGGTTATTTGATACGGGTTTCAAGGAATAATTAGGAGTTTCAACAACAGACGATGGCAAGAAAACATATTACCAGCAAAGGAAGAGTTATTACAAAAGGGAAATATGGGAACAATATGTGGACATAATGAGGTGGCAGATTTGGTTCCATAAAAGCATGAATGGCCCCAACATGGAGAAACTGCCCTAGAAAACAAGAAATTCCCCATTGCTGCAAAGGTCCAAGCAAAGTGTAGACCAATCGTGTGTCAATAAAAGGTCATCATGGGGAATTCCGCTTAGATTCCTTGATGCTCTTTGCAGTGTTCCTGATTCCCTCTGTCTATGACTGAACCTTGGCTCACTCTGGAGTTGGAGTATGGTGCTCTGATGAAGGGCACAGTCTTGAAATCAGATAGTCTTGAATTGGAACCCCAGCTCTTCACTTGCCTGGGATCATGTGATTGAACCTCTCTGAGCCTCAAATTCAGCACCTGTGGACACTGTCACCTACCTCACCTGTTAGAATTAAATGAATTTGTGGTGTAGAGAACTCAGTAGTGTCTGGAGTGGAATATGAGTCCACAGTATATAACCACGAACAATGACATTATGATTACAGCAAAAGGTGGTGATATGATTAGGCTGTGTGTCCCCACCCGGACCTCATTTTGAATTGTAATCCCCATAATCCCCAGGTGTCAAGAGAGAGATGAGGAGGAGGTAGTTGAATCATGGGGGCGGTTCCCCCATGCTGTTCTCGTGATAGTGAGTGAGTTATGATGAGATCTGATGGTTTCATAAGGCGTTCTTCCCTTCCTGCTGGCTTGTAAAGAAGGTGCCTTACTTCCGCCTCACCTTCTGCCATGATTGTAAGTTTCTTGAGGCCTCCCCAGCCATGCTGAATGGTGAGTCAATTAAGCCTCTTTCCTTTATAAACTACCCAGTCTTGGGCAGCTCTTTATAGCAATATGGAAATGGACTGATACAGGTGGGAAACACCACCAAGGTAGAGTAGATAGCTTGAACCTGCTTTATCATCGCACTATGATGCTCTTAGGTGCTGGGGTGGCAGTCACTGATAAGTAGGCACCATGGACAGGGCAGGAAAGGGTTGAGGAGGGTAAGTCGTCTGAGTGCAGGGGTTGATCCTAACTTTATTCAAAATTTTATATTTTATTTCTTATAGATTATTTTTGCATTCATTTTGATTTTTTAAATATTGCATTAACATATTATTTATATTGATTCTTGATCTTTTTTAGGGCTGTCTTAAATGTAGGCAAATGCCTCACTCCCCTGAACCTGTCCTAAGGTGGACCACCTACCTGTCCCCTCCCCAGACTATTCCCTCATGTGCCCTGGGATAAGCAGCCCACATAGCAGCCTGGCAGGTCCTATCTTTGCTTTAAGATCCTCCCTCGCAGGACCCCCTTGCCTGTACTGAGGGTCCTGTGAGGTCCAAGACTAAATGAAAACAGCTTTTAAGTTTGTGTTAATACCTGACTTCACTTGGTTCATCTTTTTTCTTCTTTCTTTCTTTTTTGCCTGCCCTATTACGAATTTTATAAAATAAAATTGAAAAGAAAAAACTTCAGAATTGGAAGGTAAGAGCTTTCCACTCAAAAATCAGCCTGAATTGTGTCATTACCTTGAGAAACCAGAGTGAACTGAAACTAATACATACAATTCACATAACCTCCAAATGAGGAGTCTTCGTGCGATTTTTGCCAAGAGCCTCTGCTCAGAGGGCTTGCTTTCCAGGTGTAAAGTGCAGCAGGCTTCTACTAAGCAATGGCCAGGCATGTTTTGCAAAGTGTGGAAGCCTCAATAAGTCTCCACGTTAGCAACTTCCTTAAGTCCTGGTCCTGCTGACTTCTTTCCCTCTGCACCAGCCCTAAACAATGCTGTTAAGTAATTCAGTTTGAAGAACTCTCATGGAGATCAATTTTACTAATGCACACACAGCATAATAGAGACTGAGCTACTGTAGAGAGAGGAATCTCTTTTTTTTTTTTAAATCAGAGAACAAGAACAGGAATTACCGATCAGGTTGGAGCCATGGCCTAGGGATGGCTTCCCTATGGATTAACATTTCCTGACTTTGCACTTTGCAGAAAGGTTACAACTATTTATGTTACGTGCAAGCTATGCATAGTAATTAGAACTTCTGCACAGCTTTAACCATGACAGTTGGTGGGATTTCAATGCAGACATCAAAGACCCTGAATTTCTGATGACAGTTGTCACTCAGAATTGGCAGCAAGAGCCTAGAAGAAGCCTACACTTCTCTCTCTCTCTAAATCACTCTGTCTCTTTATATATATATAAGGCAGTACATATTTTATATACTGCATATATATATATATATGTATGTATGATTGCTTCTATCATTCCAATGTAGTCTTGATTCCTTTCTCAATTAACCCTTCTGTTATACACTTTTATTTTCCTAATGTAAACAGTTGCATTGTGAAGTCTGCAACTTAGCCACTATTTGCAAGATAGAGATCTAGTTCAAAGGCAAACCTTGGTCAGTGTAATGACTTATTCAAAACGTGCTGTGTTAATAGAAGGCAGGCATCAACAAATGGCAAACCACATAGAAACAAAGCATTTTAAAAGGTGTGGCCTTAAATGCTTTTTAAAAAGCATTTAAAAGATATTCTAGAAACTACTCACGGAGTCATTTTGGACAAAGACCAAGTGACTGCCTTGGTCTATTTGGGCTGCTATAACTGAAAGATTCTCTCTGGGGCCTGAAAGCTTAAGGGAATGAATAATTCCTCCGTTCTCAGGCCCAGTCTCAAGGCACAAAACTACTTGCGCCAGCAGCTTGCACCAGCAAGATAGCAGAAGCAGGAAGAGAGCCAGCCGGAAGACATGTACCCTGGCCGGAAGACACCTACCCCTGAAGATCGATAAAGAGGCCATCTGGGCACCACGTAGCAGTTATGTCCGTCTCGTACACTTCCTGTTTACAGGAGACTATAAAACCCCTGCCCCGTCCTCACTTGGGGCTGACACCATTTTAGGCCTCAACCCGCCTCTACCCAGGCACTCATTAAAACAGCATGTTGCTTCACACAGCCTCATGTTGTCTGTTGGCGTGCTCTTGGGGTTCGAACCGATACAAGAACCTTTCAATAACAAAATGCCATAAACTGGGTAGCTTATAAACAACAAATTTGTTTCTCACAGTTCTGGAGGCTTGAAAATCCAAGATAAGGGTACCAGGAGATTCAGTGTCTGTGAGAGCCCATCTTCTGCTTCATACATGGCACCTTCTGGCTGCACCCTCACATAGAATAAGGGAAAAAGGTCTCTCTGGGAATCCCACTCATGAGGGTGGAGCCCTGATGACCTAATCACCTCCCAAAGGCTCTACCTCCTAATACCATCCATTTGGAGGTTAGGGATTCAGCATATTAGTTTTGGGGAGACACAAACATTCAGACCATAGCAGTGACCTGTGAAGTTTATGCACATTAAGCCCAGCAGTTTCTGATTATGTGAGCGATCAGACTAACACCCTGTATATCTTCTGGTGTGCCCAAGTGTTCTATAGAAAATCCATTCTCTTAAAAGCCATGATTTTCCAGTAACAGAGCTCCCCATTTATATGCCTCTGTGACTCAGATTTTCCCAATATAATTTTGGCTATATATTAAGTGCATTTGCAGCTTGAGCCCATGAAAAAGTAGGACATCAGAGAAGCATTAGATCACCCGGGCTACTTCATACCACTTAGAAGATTAGTAATCTACAAGGACACAGAAAACTTGTTTTAAAATGCCTTTTGCTTTCCGGCGTCTAACTTGAAATAGATTTCCAGGAAGTGAAGATAAGGGGATGGGAGGGCAAGACAAAAACTAACATGCATGGGGCTCTGTTAAGCATCACACATTTTACTAGGCACTCACAGACCTTCTCACATACTCTAGGTTGTAATGATTTGAAATAATCAATCCTTCTGCCTTTTTCTTTATTTTCAGAGAAACCCATTTACTGCGAAGAACCTCGTGTATCTCATTTTAATGAACTCTTTGTATCAGTTTGGTTGCAAGTGACAGAATCTCAATTCAAACCAGTTTTGGCAAAAATGGAAATTTATTGACTTTACTGCAAATAAAAATTGAGAAAGCGGACGTGGGGGAAGAGCAGGCATGCAGCCCAGTTTGATGACAACCGGAAAAGCCTGGAGATTGAATCTCATCAGGATTTTGTCCCCAAATCCTCTCTCTTTTTTCCTTTCACTGTTGGTTTATTCTTCTTTAATGCACACTGCTTTTCTCCTCATGTTGGGGCTTGGGGGAGGCGTGACATGGCCTCCGCACCCGCACCCCAAGCACTTGAGCGTAACGTCGTACAGCCTCTACTTCAGATAGGGGATTAACCAATGTCTCTTAAGACCAAAAATCCCAGAGAGAAGATCCATAGACCTAGCCTGGGTCAGGTGCCCAAAGGGAGGGTTCAAGATGGACACAACTAGGTCGGTGGTCACCATGGTGATGGGACGTGAGCACTTTCCCAGGAGAAAGGGGACAGTGTGCATAAATCTCCTTTGAGTTCCCTCGACCCATCCAGAAAATCTCTCTCTCCTTGGTCAATGCCTAGTTTGATTCCTAACACATGAAAGACTTCAGTAAATATTTGTTGAATGTCAAGGGTTAAAAAACTGAAAGTAGAAGAAAGGGAAATGAGCAGAATAGACAAAATCCAGGGCTGACGATGATGCCAGTTCAAAGTAACATCTCTTCCCTGCAGGGGAGCTCACTACCTACAAAAGTGCTGTTGAAAGCCCCAGGGGGAGTCACTCAAGGGTGTGCAAAAGAAGTGAGTATGCCTCTCCCCACTGCTGGCTCTCAGCTGGAGCAGACCCTCGGTCCATACCGATAAGACGCTCCAGCTGCCAATGTTCCCAGGCTTATTTTATCTTCCCCCGCAACGATATTATTTTTTTCCCTTTTAGCTGGTATGAGAATCCTTCCCCCAGGGAGAGACCCAGTTTTGTCAGGCAAGCGCTTTGATCAACCCACGCAGGGGCTTGGGTCAGCTGGTGCTGGGATCAGAGGAGCAGGCGGGGCTGCTTTTCTTCTGAGAGGAGGCAGAGGTGGAGGAGCAGAGGGAGGAGACAACAAGTCATTGGCACATCCAAGGAAGCCTCAGAAGAAAAAAGGTTCTAACTGTGTGAGGTGCCTGGGATCCGCTATGTGAGCCCTCCCCACGACTCCCTGCATCCTTTACAAAACGTCAACAAGCCCCCGTCACTCAGGAGGATGGCCTTCTCGGGGAAGCCTGAGAAAGGAATAGATTTTGTGTCAAAGTCAGAGTGGGGAACATGAAGAGTCTTGACCGCATGGGCAAAGGAGACAGCACTTGGCTTAGGTTCCCAATGCACAGATGTGAAAATGACCTGCATGTCATGCCATAATGTGCACCTGCTGGGGCCCAGACAGGGCACCACTGCAAGTGTCCGAGGTGAGGACAGCTGGACTGCCCTTTCTGTTCCATAAGGAAACAAGTCCAAGTTCTAACAAGTCCATCTGTTACGTCTAGTCCTAGTAAACAGGTCCCAAGTTGCTGTTACTTTGCTGGGTATTCTGACCTGAGGTCTTTGACTCTCTCCTCTTCTCTCTCTATTATCTCTCTCTCTCCCTCTCTCTCTCTCTCCCTTTCTCCTCCAATCCACTGTGCTGTGCCTCCCTCTGTCTGTTTGCTCTTTATCCTACTGTCGTCTGGAAAACTCTTCTTTCTCCTTCAGATCTCTCTTTTTTTTTTTAAATACTTTAAGTTCTAGGGTACATGTATACAATGTGCAGGTTTGTTACATAGGTATACATGTGCCATGTTGGTTTGCTGCACCCATTAACTAGTCATTTACATTTGGTATTTCTCCTAATGCTATCCCTCCCCCTGCCCACGACCCCACAACAGGCCTCCATGTGTGATGTTCCCTGCCCAGTGTCCAAGTGTTCTCATTGTTCAGTTCTCACCTATGAGTGAGAACATGTGGTGTTTGACTTTCTGTCCTTGTGATAGTTTGCTCAGAATGATGGTTTCCAGCTTCATCCATGTCCCTGCAAAGGATATGAACTCATCCTTTTTCATGGCTGCATAGTATTCCATGGTGTACATGTGCCACATTTTCTTAATCCAGTCTATCATTGATGAATGTTTGGGTTGGTTCCAAGTTTTTGTTATTGTGAATAGTACCACAATAAACATACATGTGCATGTGTCTTCATAGTAGCATGATTTATAATCCTTTGGGTATATACCCAGTATTGGGATCACTGGGTTAAATGGTATTTCTAGTTCTAGATCCTTGAGGATTCGCCACACTGTCTTCCACAATGGTTGAACTACTTTACACTCCCACCAACAGTGTAAAAGCGTTCTTATTTCTCCACATCCTCTCCAGCATCTGTTGTTTCCTGACTTTTTAATGACCGCCATTCTAACTGGTGTGAGATGGTATCTCATTGTGGTTTTAATTTGTATTTCTCTGATGGCCAGTGATGATGAGCATTTTTTCATGTGTCTGTTGTCTGTATGAATGTCTTCTTTTGAGAAGTGTCCATTCGTATCCTTTGTCCACTTTTTGATGAGGTTGTTTTTTCTTGTAAATTTGTTTAAGTTCTTTATAGATTCTGGATATTAGCCCTTTGTCAGATGGGTAGATTGCAAAAATTTTCTCCCATTCTCTAGGTTTCCTGTTCACTCTGATGGTAGTTTCTTTTGCTGTGCAGAAGCTCTTGTCTAATTAGATCCCATTTGTCTATTTTGGCTTGTGTTGCCACTGCTTTTGTTGTTTTAGTCATGAAGTCCTTGCCCATGCCTATGTCCTGAATGATATTGCCTAGGTTTTCTAATAGGATTTTTATGGTTTTAGGTCTAACATTTAAGTCTTTAATCCATCTTGAATTAATTTTTGTATAAAACGTAAGGAAGGGATCCAGTTTCAGCTTTCTACATATGGCTAGCCAGTTTTCCCAACACCATTTATTAAATAGGGAATCCTTTCCCCATTTCTTGTTTTTGTTAGGTTTGTCAAAGATCAGATGGTTGTAGATGTGTGGTGTTATTTCTGAGGCCTCTGTTCTGTTCCATTGGTCTATCTCTCTGTTTTGGTACCAGTACCACACTGTTTTGGTTACTGTAGCCTTGTAGTATAGTTTGAAGTCAGGTAGTGTGATGCCTCCAGCTTTGTTCTTTTTGCTTAGGATTTTCTTGGCAATGTGGGCTCTTTTTTGGTTACATATGAACTTTAAAGTAGTTTCTTTCCAATTATGTGAAGAATGTCATTGGTAGCTTGATGGGGATGGCACTGAATCTATAAATTACCTTGGGCAGTATGGCCATTTTCACAATATTGATTCTTCCTATCCATGAGCATGGAATGTTCTTCCATTTGTTTGTGTCCTCTTTTATTTCATTGAGCAGTGGTTTGTAGTTCTCCTTGAAGAGGTCCTTCACATCCCTAGTAAGTTGGATTCCTAGGTATTTTATTCTCTTTGTAGCAGTTGTGAATGGGAGTTCACTCATGATTTGGCTCTCTGTTTTTGGTGTATAAGAATGCTTGTGATTTTTGCACATTGATTTTGTATCCTGAGACTTTGCTGAAGTTGCTTATCAGCTTGAGGAGATTTTGGACTAAGACAATGGGGTTTTCTAAATATACAATCATGTGATCTGTGAACAAGGACAATTTGACTTCCTCTTTTCCTAATCGAATACCCTTTATTCTTTTCTCATGCCTGATTTCCCTGGCCAGAACTCCCAACACTATGATGAATAGGAGTAGTGAAAGAGGGCATCCCTGTCTTGTGCCAGTTTTCAAAGGGAATGCTTCCAGCTTTTGCCCATTCAATATGATACTGGCTGTGGGTTTGTCATAAATAGCTCTTATTATTTTGAGATACGGTCCATCAATATCTAGTTTATTAAGAGTTTTTAAGCATGAAGGGCTGTTGAATTTTGAAGGCCTTTTCTGGATCTATTGACATAATCATGTGGTTTTTGTCTTTGGTTCTGTTTATGTAATGGATTATGTGTATTGATTTGCGTGTGTTGAACCAGCCTTGCT